CTTCCCCCGTCAAAATAAAAGTTTAGTTTAACGTTAAGAAACTGTCAGAATATATTACTATTTAGCAGTCTTAATACTCAATGCTACTACTGCTAATAAATATGAATACATCTTTATTTTTAAATGAATAATCACATCTGTTTTCTTTTTAATTTTAACAGTAAACCTCTGTTGTGCAGCACTTTGTTTGCCAAAAAATAAAAGGGTTTAATTTTCATTTGATTAAGAAAAACTAAGAACATTTTATAGGGCCCTATTATTTTTAAAAAAAGGACCCTATACAAAAAAAAAAAGGTTTAAAATACAGGCATGTGGTTCTTAATTTCTTTTTATTAATTCACCATTTGTAAACTGATGTTTACTGTTCATTTTTTAGAAATATCAATAGCATTTGTATTAAAACTATATTCACTGAATGTAATAAAAAAAAATCGAGAATCGAATCGAATCGAGAGCTTGCGAATCTAAATCGAATTGGGACATCTGAATCGATACCCAGCCCTATTTGTTTGGCTGTTTGAAATTGCTTCATCGCCAAACCATTTCTGTAAAATGTGTGCAATCAGCAGATGTTAGGAACAGAAACACCATGCGCTCGTTGTATGTGTGTACACATGGTTTTTACCAGATTATAAAATGCGTAAAGGAGTCAAAAAGTGACAGGAATGAAGTGTAGTGAAATGTAGAATGGTCAAGACAATGAAACATACTAATAAAACATAGAAATGTACTAAAGCTGAGTAATTTGAACTAGGGATGTCAACGATTAATCGATGATCGATTAATTGTCGATAAGAGATGCAATCGATTATTGTTAATTCGTTCCTACGACTTATTAATTTGTGGCCACTGTCCATGTTTCATTAATTTTGTTCCTTAAATAGCCCATGATTTAACTAAAATGAGGGAACAAATTAACAAATCGAACGAATTCTTAATTCATGGCCATGAAATCTTTCATTTCCCTTAGATGCGAAAACAGTGATAAAAGGTGAATGACAATAAAATAACCCTGCGAAATCAGAGGGTTAGACGGTGAGGATTTAGAAAAAGAAACATTGCCTAAATATTATTGAATTTGTGGA